AGCAACGGACAGTTTACGAGCAGAAAACTGGTATCCATATGTAAAATGAATAATTTCTCTCAGAGGGAGGAAATTTTAAATCTCGAGTGGAAATAACCCTTTATAAGTACAAAAAACTCAAATTTTAGGAAATGTGCCAGAAACCAGATGAGTGCAGAACAGGAGGCAACAAATTCTGATCGATGAATGAAGATTGGAACTCTTCCAAAACAATTTGTCATGTTTTTTAAATAAAGAAATATTAAAATAACTAGTAACTAAAGCTAGCAAAAGCAATCTTTTCGCTGTAATTGTTGGACGAAATAATCATTCGCAAAGTTGCCAGTAAGTACAGTAAATGGGATCACGGTTAAAAGAGGAAAAAGCGTGTCGCTCTAGAAGTTTAGGAAGGATGCAAAATTAGACTTAGCAAAAGGTGTATGAATATTTTTGCCTGTTAGTGTTGAAAAGAATTACATAGATAGTAGTTTAGGACAAAGCTTTGCTTCATAAAATCTCAATTGACTTTAGCATGACTATGAATAGATTATCCCTATCATTTAGAAGATATCATTAAAACAAGGGCTAGCATTAATGCGACTTTAATCCTAGACAAATAAAGTAACATCCTTATGCAGGTTAAGTAAGCGCATTTATATAACTTTAGGCTAAAATAATTCATGCGAAGTCGGGTTCAGAGGAATCTCTTATTTCATATTTGTTAAGCTTACTTCCATTTCAAGTGAGTGTTTGGTAAATAGATTCGAAGGTCGATCCAATCAGAAGACGACGGCAGATTCCTCTTGACCAGCTATCGATTGACTTTACTGAATACTCTTGTTGACGATGTTTCCGAGGTAATTCCCTTTAATTCCGGTGAAAACGTGTTAAGCTTTCGTCCGATGATGAGGAATATCATCATAGCAGGGAATCATATATATATATATATATATATGTATATGTATATGTATACTAAAACTCAATTAATAAATGAGTCAGTGAGTGTAACTAGCATATCTGTTTTTTTGAGAATGTAGGAATCAATAAAAATTTCTGAACATTCATACCAGAATAACTAGGGCTTTTCTCATTCGATTGTGTCGAAGTAGGTATCCTTCGTTGACGAAGCTCCTCCTCGAGAGGATCTCGCGAAAGATCTTCCGTCTGTGATGTCGCAGAGGGTATCAAGGGGTTTAAATCCACTGCACCTGACTGACATATTTCGCGACTACCGGCGAGTGTTGGCAAGGATGCTGCGTCGACAAATAAGGCGTAATTTAAATCAATAGGAGTGCCAGGATCGCCTGTAATAGAACTATCTGTACACACAAGAGTAGCATCCTTGTCATGCTCATGGGAAACTTGGACACGGCGTTGTTGCTCGTAGCGGAAGGAAAGCC